AGAAAAAAAGATCACAGCAGAAATTAAGGCAATGGAGACTAAGAAAACTATAGAAAGCCTTTCTGGACCTCAATGTGGTTCAGAAAATCCCACATTTGTAAGCCCATGGAAAGGTTATTGGAATTCTAATAAGTTTATTGCAATCTGCCACTTCCAGTGCAACTCATGGTGAGAATAAAGACACTAAGGCATATTTGTAGTCTGGGAAGTCAAGAGGCCCTAAGTCTAGTCAGAATAATGGCTAACCAGAACAAAGGCCTCTACCCAGGGCTGAACATGGGTTTTGTTAATTTGTGAAGAGGGGAGCAGCTCAGGGATGAGTGACCATGAGAGTAGTGGGAAGTATGTGAGTTCTGTGAGCTAGGCTAGGTAGGAGGCCTGAAATCACCTCTGCAATATGCAGTGAGAGATGCAGAAAGAGTAATCTGCATATCACAGATTGGGACAGTAGCTAATGTTTTGGGGTTGGTGCTTGAGTTTTGTAGTTTTCAGCATGAAAACTACATGCTGAGGCTCATTCTCAGCTAACAGCATGGCATCCCTTGCCTAGCTCACACATACTATGTGGGAGGTATAGGTGGGGCATCACTGACCTGTGCCATTGCTTTAAAGATTACACTTCAGCACCTTGGCTAGGCCCATTTGCTTTCCTTAAAGCCAACTGAAGGGATAAAGACAAAACTTAGGCAACTCTGTACATATCAATACATAGAAATAGGGTCAGGTTTAGCCAAAATGGAGACAATTGCTCTTCTTTCAAGGAGAGTTATCCTGGTGATCCTCTGTAAAAACAACATGAAGAATCAATTGGCAAGTTGGTTCTTTTAACAATTAAATAAAATTGACAAACCCTTAGCCAACCTTATAAAAAAAGGAAAGATTCAAATCCATGTAATTAGGAAGGCAAAGGGTGAAATCACTATAGATTTGCAGAAATCCAGAAGACTGAAGATTGTCAATACCTATTTCAAGGGCCTGTTTCCTGAAAAGATGAAAAACACAGATGAAATAGAAAGATTCATAGATACACATGAATTACCAAAGCTGAATCAAAAGATATAAAAGTTCCTTTTTTTTGTACCAGGAATCAAACTCATAACCTCATGCTTGCTAGGCATGCACTGTGACACCAAAACTCACTGTGCACTGAGCTATATCCCTGGCCCAAAAATTCTAAATAAACCAATATCACTCAATGAAATTGAAAATGTAATGCCAGGCATGGTGGCACTTGCCTGTAATCCCAGCACTTGGGAGACTGAGGCAGGAGGATCATTGCAAGCGTCAGACCAGCCTGGGCTACAAAGCGAGCTTAAGGCCAGCCTGAACTGCACAGCGAGACCTTGTCTCAAAAAGACAAAAAAAGAAAATGTAAAATTAAAAACGTACTAACAAAGAAAGCCCAGGCTGTAATGGATTCACTGCTGAATTCCACAAGAAATTTAGAGAAGACCTAGTGCTACTATAATATAGAGAAAATGGCTATACTTCCAAAATTATACAGATTTAATGCTATCCTGATTAAATTACCAATAGTATATTGCACAGAATTAGAGAATGCAATCCCAAAATTCATTTGGAATCAGAAGAGACCTAGAATAGCAAAATCAATTCTGGGTAACAAAGGGAAGGCAGGGGACACCACAACTCCTGAGTTGAAATTATACTACAAAGCTACTGTGATTAAAAAAAAAACAAAACAAAAAAAAACCATCCTGGCAATGGCAAAAAAAGCAGACCTGAGAATCAATGGAGCAGATTAGAAGATGCAGCAACTCCAAACACACTCAGCCACTTTATCTTTGAGGAGCCAACACCTTCACTGGAAGAAAGAAACTCATTTTCATAAATGGTGCTGAAAATACCTTTCCAAATGCCAAAGATTAAAAGTAGACCTGTATCTTTCACTATGCATGAACCTAAAATAGAAATGGATCCAAATCTAAATATTTTGGTTATTGCTAATAGAAGTTCTATATGCCTCACTTATCGGTATGTCAGATTTTTTGTCCATGCTTGGGAAATTTTCTATTACTTCTGAAAATAGTCTTTTTTGTCATTTGTGTTGACTCCTGCTATTTCATTGACATCTATCAGTTATATTGTTTTTCTTCACATCATCTTGCGGCTGTTGAATTATTTCCTGGTTCCTTTTTAAGAGATCTTTCCTTTCACAATCATTAGCTGCTGTTTTCTTCAAGGTCTAAAAGTCTATCTTCAACTTCATTCAAGTGGTTTTGCCAGCTTTGAATGGAAGTTTTAATTTCCTGGATATCTCTTTGAATGTTTCATACATTCTAATTATTTCCTATGTTGTTCATTCAAGGTTTCCATCATTTTTTATGCTCCTTTATTTTTTAATCTGTCTTCTTTAGATGTGCTGAGCAATTCTTTCATTATTGTTGTCATTTTTTTTTTACCTGAGAGATTATTTCTGATCTGATTTCCTCTACAGCCTGATGTAGTTGGTTCTTTACTTCAGTTGCTATCATTTGAGAAATTTCAGGTGTGTGACTTCCAAGCTCGAATGTCCATGGGCTTGTTCTGGGTGAGGTGGAGGTCTGAGATTGCGTTTTGCTCCTTCATTTTGTCATTTTTGAGGGTCCCATGGTTCCCCAGGACTCAGTGTTGCTCCCACAATGGTGGGGGGGTGGAATGTGGAGTCGCTCTCCTCCCTCCTAGGTAGCTCAACAAAGCCCCCAAGTTTTCCAGAGATTCAGTGTCCCTCCTACAATGGTGGGGGCAGGTCACCAAAGGTCCCAAGTTTCCCCAGCACTCAGTGTGGCACCTGAGATGGTGGGGGTTGGGGGGTGGCTCAGTGAGGCTCCCGAAGCTACCCAGGGCTCAGCATGGCTCAAAGATCTAAATACTGAAACAGAAACACACTAAATTGGCTGGAAGAGGGAATAGGTAGAACTCTTGAAGACATTTGTGTAGGCAGACTTTATTTTATTTTATTTTTTGGCAAAGACTTTATGAACAAAATGTGGACTACACAGGAAATATCACAAAGAATCAAAAACTGAGATCTCACCTTATTAAAAAGCTTTTGCACAGCAAAAGAAACCATCAACAGAGTGAAGAGACAACCCACAGTGTGGGAAAAAATGTTTATAGCTGTTCCTCAAAGGACTAAGATAAAAAAAAAAAGCCGGGCATGGTAGTGCATGCGTATAATCCCAGCACTTGGGAGGCTGAGGCAGGAGGACCATTGCGAGTTCAAGATCAGCCTGGGCTACAAAGTGAGCTCAAGCCTAGCTTGAACTGCATAGTGAGACCCAGTCTCAAAAAGACCAAAAAAAAAAAAAAAAAAAGGACTAATATCTAGAGTATATAAAGAACTCAAAAAAAAATCAGACCCCTCCAAATGTAAAGGCTTAATCTAAAAATAAGCATCTGTAATGAGTAGACACTTTTCAGATAAAGAAGTAGAAATGGAAAACATGTATATGAAAAAATGCTCAATGTCACAGTCATTTTTTTTTTTGGTACCAGGAATTGTACTCAGGACCTTGTGCTTGCCAGACAGGTGCTTATGCCACTGAGCTATATCCCCGGCCATCAGTCATTTGAGACACGCAAATTAAAATAAAGCTGAGATTCCATCTCACTCTAGAAATAATGGCTATTATCAAGACATCAACCAATAACAAGTGCTGGCAGGGCTGTCGAGAGAAAGAAACCATTCTCCACTGTTGGCAGGAGTATAGACTGGTTCAACCACTGTGGAAATCAATATGGAGATTCCTCAAAAAACTAGAACTGCAGGTTCCATTTGACCCAGCTATTCCCCTTCTTGGTATCTTCCTGAAAGAATTAAAAGCATCATATATTCCATTTTTATAGTGGCGCAGTTTGTAATAGCTAAATCTTGGAAACGGCCCAAATGCCCATCAATTATTGAATGGATAAAGCAAATGTGATTTTTTTTATACAATGGAGTACTATTCTGCCATAAAGAACGGTAAGCTTGCGACATTTCTAGCTAAATGGATGAACTTTGAGAGTGTACTCTTAAGTGAAATAAATCAGACACACGTTTAAATATTGCATTGTGAGGTAGCTCCAGCAAGGGCAGGTCAGCATGAAATCAAGTCTAACCCTGAAACCCTACCTTGGGGTTCTGTCTTTCCCATGCTCCTGTGGGGATGCCACTCAGAATGAGGTCCTCACAAGAGGCCAAACAGAACCCCCTGATCTTGGACTTTTAGCCTCTAAAACTTTGAGCTAAATAATACACACAACCTTAACTCGGGTATCTCACTACAGTCTCAAAACAGCCTCAAACACTGTTCCAATGTGAAAAGTGGCAAGGAAGTATAAAAACTGCAGTTTCCCTCTAAAGTGCTTGGTGGAGGATGTTAAAAGAGGATAGTGGAGTTCTGCACAGTGGCACACAACTCTAACCCCCGCTGCTTCAGACGCTGAGGGAGAAGGATCCTTTTGTCTAGGCCAGCCCAGGCACTGTAGTGAGAACCAGTCCCAACAGCCAAACAAGACAGCAGTGAGGCTGAAATCTGAATACACTGGGAAAAACGGTAAGGTCCTGCGGACAATGAAGTTTTTCTTCTGGCATGGTACATGAAGATATTGTAACCAGTCTGAAAACAGCAATAAAATTTGTTAAAAATTTCAGTCAATTTTGCTCAGTTTTAATGAGTTGGAGATAACTTATTGGCGCACACCTGTAATCCCAGCACTCGGGAGCAGGAGGAATTGTTGCGAGTTCGAGACCAGCCTGGACTACACAGTGAGCTCAAGGCCAGCCTGAACTGCATAGCGAGACCCTGTCTCAAAAAGACAAAAACAAACAAACAAAAAAGATAACTTGTAAAAATTTTAAGGTCAGATAAATTGCTAAAGATTTGAACTGCTGACTGGATGAACGGAAGACTGTCTCCACACGGAACGTTTGGTTGGTGTTAACGAAGGCAGCGAAGGAGGCCTCCTCACCTCAGCGCCCTCGACCTTGCGCCTGCTCCGACCACGGAGTCCACCAGCAGTGCAGGCGCTCCGCGGGGACACGCGGGCCCGCAGGCGCGGCCGGCCCAGCCACCCCTCGCGTGTCCCTGGCCAGTGTTAGGTGCCGCGCCAGCATCGCGCGCCATCACCTCCCACCTGCTCCCTCCTCGCACCTCAAGCTGGAAGCTCGCGTGTCCAGGACACACCGCGCAGCAGAGACGCGCGCAGAGCACGCTGGGAGCTGGGGAGGGTCTCAGGGTAAAGAGAGGATGCGCAAGGCACGCTGGGAGCCGGGGAGTGCTCACGGGGGACGCGAGTGTGCGCGGGGCACGCTGGGAGCCAGCGCTGCAGGCTGACCCGGAAGGACTGCTGCGGTCCTGACACCAGCTTCCCTAGCAACCGAGCGGTTTTGCGCAGCGACCGGCCGGCGGTCCGTCAGCAGACTGTGATGCCGCTGCAGCTCAGCGGTTACAGCTGGCGGCAGACGCCCACCACAGTCTTCCTGTCTCTGCCCCTGCGCGGCGTCTGCGCCAGAGATGCGGACGTGTTCTGCTCGGAGAGTTACCTGAAGGTAGGCGCCGAGAGGGCGTGTTCCCGCGAGCCCCGGCCGCCCTGCTTGCCCGTGACCGTCCTTGGGTGTAATCCGACTTTGAGACGCGAGCTCCCGTCCCCAGAGAGCTGAAGACGTCATGTTTCAGTGATCCGTGCCTTCCCGTGTTCCCAGCACCACGATTCAAACAGGTCAATCTTGGAAGCAGGCGATGTGGCTTCGACAGGGAACCGCTAGAGAAAAGGCGGTGTTCGCGCGTGATGGGATATTGCCCGGCTATGAAGGAAGATAAAGTCGAGCCATTTCGTAAGAAAATGGGTGCGGCTTGCAAGCATCAGGTTAGGGGAAATAAGTCAGATACACAAGTTTAGACCCGTGTGAGTTTTCTCATTTGTGTTACCCTTAGTACAAATAAAGACCCAAATAAAAGATCGGTAAAAGGAAACCGGGAAGTAGATCTCTGCGAATGGGAAGGGGACCACGAGACCAAGGCGGCAGGGCGGGGCGTGAACACATTTCAGATGTTAGCTTACCAACCACCCATAATGCGTGTAATCGGTGTAGGTCTCAAACATGAACTTAAAAAAATAATAACAATGAAAATGGGAAAGGGGGATCTAAGACAGAGCGAGGGAAATAAAAGTCAAGATGCTAAGCACATGGGGCCGTTCCCCAAAATGAATGGAAAGATCATGCACTGCAAGTATGTATTAATAAAATAAATTTTTAAAAAGAAACTATGAGATCAAAACCAAAACAAAGCATAACAAAACCAAAAAAGGAATTCCACCTTCCCATAATCTCAGAACTTGGAGGCTAAAGCAGGAGGGTTTTGAGTTCAAAGCTAGCTTGGGCTACATGGTGTCTCAAAAAAAAACAAACAAACCCCAAAACCAAAAACAAACAAAACAACATCACCAAATAAAAAATTCCAATGGCACATGCTTATAATGCCAGACTGAGACAGAAAGATTCTAAATTCAAGGCCAGCCTGGGTAACATAGAGAGACTCCCTCTCCAAAATAAAGTAATAAATAAAAGTAAGGGGTGGTCTAGGTAAGCCGAGGCTCAGGCTTCCCCTGATAGCACCAAGCTGGAGGTGAAAGGCTGAAGAGAACAGGGCCTTAGTGGTGCGTGGGGATTCATCAGGTGCAGTAAGTAGCTCCTTCAATGGAATATAGAGTTGATAAAAGTAAGTGATTTACTCACACGACTCTTTTGGTGAGAACAAAGTTTCTGAGTCCCTCATCTATCCTGTCTTCAGTGTGTCTTCAATCAACATGAACAGGAGCAGAGCAGAAATATTTTGGGGCTATTGTATGTAAGTCTTGTGGCGTGGTCTACACTGCTTCCAATCCTGAAGATGAAATGCAGCGTGTCCAGTGTTACCACAGATGTCTGGAGAGAATCAAATATACAAGCTGAAAAAGAGAACGAGAAGTAGCTGAGTTGTGGGACGGAAAGATCCTGTTGGCCTTGCCACGGGGTCCAAGTTTTCTATCAGAAAAGTAGCAGATGTCCAAGAACTTGCTGAGTAAGAATTGCAGCTTCCTGCCGGGTATGGGCGCATGCCTGTAATCCTAGCACTCTGGAGGCTGAGGCAGGAGGAATGTTGAGAGTTCGAGACCATCCTGGACTACAGAGTGAACTCAAGGCCGGCCTGAACAGCATAGTGAGACCCTGTCTCAAAAAGACAAAAAAAAAAAGAAAAGTTGAGCTTCCTGTAGGCTGTTCCCAAATGTCCAGAGAAAGCCAAAACTTTTTGTATTGGGTGATAAGAGTGTGGTTGGGTATTTATTGGTAGAGCCTATGAGACTGGCCCTCAGTGTCCTTTCTGAGCCAAGTGGCCCAGAAACCTTAGGCTCTGGAGATTGTCCGAGAGCCTGGCAGTGTTCACGTGTCCCTACAGTCTGTGGAATAAGTAAATCTGAGTTTTCAAACTGAAGAGAAGAATGTGTTGCAGAACAACTGGTAGACACTCGGAAGAACTGCTCCACCTTCCGTTGTTGGGCTGGCTCCCCAGCACAAACGAAGCAGCACTTCCTGACCCAACACCAGATGGCAGGTTATTTGTAACCAAGTACTGCAACACTCCTAATTTCTTTGTATGTAACTTTAATTAAATAAATTGTATGTAACTATTTAATTAAACGTTATGTATCATTTTATTAGTTAAAGCCAGTTTCAACTATAAAACAGTATGTGGGTAAGTTTAGGTAACTCCTTATATAGTATAAACAAATTAATGCCAAAATAAAAACTACTGAAGCAAAAAAAAAAAAGCCTGACGTGATGGTGCACCCCTGAAGTTCCAGCACTCTGGGAGGCTGAGGCAGGAGGATGGCAAATTGGAGTCCTGCCTGGGCAATTTAGTGACTTAGTGAGATTGTCTCAAAAAAAAGTTTGGGGATATAGTATGAAGCCCCTAAGTTCATACCCAGTATCACAAACATAAATAAATAATAAAAAGAATTCCACATAGGAGATATTACATCTGTAGACAGATGTTACGGGATCTGAGATTACTTTTATCCAGGTCTTCCTCATATGTGTTGCTAAATTTTTATTTGAGACAGGGTCTCACTATGTATTTCAGGCTAGCTTTGAACTCAAGGCAGTCCTTCTTCCTCGGCTTCCTGAGTGCTGGGATTATAGATATTGCTAAATTTTGCTACCTGCAGAGGCCTTAAAGAAAGGTATCTTGACTGGACATGGTGGTGCATGCCTATAATCCCAACACTTGGGAGCTGAAGCAGAAGGATTGTTTCGAGTTTGAGGCTAGCCTGGGCTATAAAGTGAGCTCAAGGCCAGTCTGAACTGCATAGTGAGACCCCGTCTCAAAAAGACCAAAAAAAAAAAAGGAAAAGAAAAGTACCTTGGTCTTAATCACTTTCTTTCTTCTCCCCTCCCTCCCTCCCTCCTTCTCTCCTCCTTTCCCTTTCCCTTTCCCTTTCCCTTTCCCTTTCCCTTTCCCTTTCCCTTTCCCTTTCCTTTCCCTTTCCCTTTCCTTTCCTTTCCTATCTTTTCCTTTCCTCTCCTTTCCTTGTTCAGGCTGGCCCTGAACTCACAATGTAGTCCAGGCTGGCCTCAAACTCACAGCAATCCTCCTACCTTAGCCTCTCAAGTGCTGGGATTACAGGAGTGTGCCACCACGCCCAGGCACATACTTCTTTTAATGGCAGTGTCTTCGCTTTGTGTAACTAACTTACTCTGTTTTTTCCTCCAAACAGGTCAACTTTCCCCCATATCTATTTGAGGCATTTCTCTATGCTCCCATAGATGATGGGAACAGCAAAGCAAAGATTGGAAATGATGCTATTGTTTTCACCTTGTATAAGAAAGAAGCAGTCATGTGGGAGACACTTTCTATATCAGGTGGTAGGTGTCTTTTAAATGTTCAAAATAAAATGTGTTCAAATTAAAATACGTGTTTGAGAGTGTCCCAGGGAAAAGTAAACCCAAACAAGGGTGAGATTTGAAGGTTCATGTAGGCCCGGTTTTTTGTTGTTGTTGTAGGTTTTTTTTCTGGTACCGGGAATTGAACTCAAAACCTTGCGCTTGCCAGGCAGGCGCTATGCTGCTGAGCTAAATCCCCAGCCCCAGGCCCTGTTAATATGGGAAGATAAGGCCCAGTATATAGGCTGTAGGCCGGCTGGGACAGTTGGGGTTTAGGGAAGACAGAACAATAAGACAGTGAGCGTTTGTATCAAAGTTTGGTAGGGTGAGTTCCAGACTTCTGGTCTCTTGTCCTGTGATGAGAATGAATGCCAGCAGGGTGAAGATTGGGCCCTGAGGTCCCAGCTACTCAGGAGGCCGAGGCAGAGGGTCACCTGAGCCGAGGTGTAAGGCAGTCTGGAGAACAGAACAGAAAAGTCTGGTCCATGGAGGTGCAACAGCAAATAGAAACACTGAAGCAACACCCAGGGTTTGGAGGCAGGTTTATTTTACGTCAACGGGTCCACCAAAATATCAGGCCCTGGTCTTTGGTACCCTGAGGCTTATATTTGCAAGCGAGAAGTACAGAAGCAGAGTATTTGGTGGTTATTGATTGGTTACATCTTCGCTGATTATTACGGATTGGCCTAAAGAAAAACCATCATAGATGTTGCAAGTATGCAAAATCAGCCTTGGGACAAGCCAGGAGTTTCGGGAAACAGGTGCTTGAGGTAATGTGTGGGTTCAGGGCACAGTGGGCTGGATAAAGGAAACGTGTACCTGGCATTGGCGGAAGACAGGAAGACAGATCTGTTCAGGGGAGCAGCTACTTGCAAGAAATGTAACTCTGAAAAGTTGACTATTTTACTCTTCAGAAGATGGGGCTTGCGGGAGGAGATGTGTGGTGGCTGAGGGTATGCTTTAGAATCCAGGGTCAGGCAGCTAAGAGGAGCTAAGAGAAGGCCTAAGAGAAAGATGCTTGCATCTTTCTGCTCAAAGTGTCAGTTTACAAAGCTGTGTCTTCCCAGCGGCACCTCCCAAAGCCCCTCCACTGCTGTTCTAGGAAAGGAGGCCTTCGCCTGCCTTAGATGAGCTGCTCCTCTCCCACCACTTCCATAAGCCCAGGCGCAACACAGGAGGGCCCTGAGTGAACAAGGAATCTAATGGGGCCGTGAGCTTAACTGCGCTGCCAGAGGGTCTGATGTGTGCAGAAGGCCAGAGCCTGCGCTGGTCATGATTCACTGACCCTTCACTGACCACCCTGTCTCCCACCCCCGCCTCTCCTGAGCTCCCCAGATTTTCTCCATTCCCTTCCCTCCACTTAACACTAGGTCTTCCCCTTAGGTTCTACTACTTCCTTCCCTAAAGTAATGGATCACAGGCTGCAGTTTGGGAACACTGGTTTATACTGAATATAAAGATAATCGTGATCCAGGCACATGTCTAGCACTGTAGTAAGCTCACAAGTTTGAGTCCAACCTCGGCAACTTTGTGACTTAGTGAGATCCTGCCTCAAAAAAAAGGGGGGGGATGTTGCTCAGTGCAAAGACCCTGGGTTCAATACCCACTACCAAAAGGAAGTGTTCTGTGCATAATATGTCCCCGGGTTTTTCTTGAGCTGGCTCTTTCCTCTCCATATGTGTGTTACCACGTTATTTAGCTCTGGGGATTGAACCCAGGGCTTTTTCACCAAACTACGCACCCAGCCCTTTTTAAATTGTACTTTTTAAATTGCAAACAGGGTTTCATTAAGTTACAAAATTCCCTAGGCTGGGCTCAAACTTGCAGTCTTCCTGCCTCAGCTTCCCAGAGTGCACCAACATGCCTATCACCATATTACGTTTTGAAGGTGATTTGACAGTTCAGGTGATCTCAACCAGTCTTCTTTTAGGAGACCTTATAAGGATGATTTATTATGAACAAGTTTACAAGCAAGTAGCCTTCATTTCTCAACAGAAAATGTGAGAAATGTGTTCTCATTCCCCTCCTCCCATCCTGTCCTTCCTTCTCTGTATTTCCCTCTTTCCTGCCTTTCCCTCCCTAGCTCATCCCCTCCCTCATGCCTTCTTCCTCTTCATTATGATTATGGTAAATTGCTTGTCTTTGAATGTTAGTTTCTTGGCCAGTTCTATATTAAAAATATGTTTTCACTTTTTATGAAGTTGCATCAAAGGAGATCTCATCACAGCCCACATGGTAAGTAGTTCTCTCCTAAGTCAGACCAGTTCATCGCAGTCCTGAGTTAGCATATTCCTTGTATTTTAGTTGACAAAGAGATGATGCAGAGAATAAGAGAAAAATCTATTTTACAAGCACAAGAGAGAGCAAAAGAGGCTGCAGAAGCAAAAGCTACAGCAAGACGGGAAGATCAAAAGTACGCATTAAATGTCATGATGAAGGCAAGTGCAGGTTGTTGGGAAGTCTTCTAACGGGAAAATAGTAAAGGGTGTAAAGATGGTTTTAACCATTGCAGTACTCAGCATGTGCTTGTAGGATTTACTGCTGTGTTATAGGCTATGTACTGCTTAACTGAAAATCTGTATGAAAGTTAGGGGTGTAAAAGTTAGACAGTAAACCAGGCATGGTGTTATGTATTTGGACTCCTAGCTACTCTGGAGGCTGAGGCAGGAGGATCACTTAAGCCCACGAGTTCCAGGCCAGCCTGGTCAGCCTAGTGGGATCCCATCTCATAAAGTTACTATGGTATATTATACTTCTTTTAATCTTAAAATAATGGACATGTTTAAAGCAAAAAATAAACATGAAATGCTAGATAATGATAGTACTATTTTTGTTTTTGTTTTTT